CCGTTCACATGTGAGCTGCTGCTTTGTGCCAGAAGGTGCCATGGGCTGGGATGGGATAATGACGGTGAGCAAACAGCCCACTGCACACATTGCTGTGATGCTGGATTCTCTAGACTAGACCCTAAGATGGAGAAGGGATCTAGAGTCTAGAGAATTCAGCCTGAGTCCCGGCAGAGAGTCAGGGCCAGCCAGGACCCGGGGAGGAAAGGTGACTGCCAGAGGGAATGGCACATGCTAAAGGATCCCCGGCAGAGCTCAGGACACTGAAAACCAAGCCCAGCAGATCCACTGCTGAGACCAGGACTCAGGTCACGAGGGTCCCAGGCAAAACCAAGCAGAAGAGAGGACCCCTGCACACTCCATGACAGCCAAAGTGCAGGCCAAGAATGCAACCACCCCCCACCCCACACCCAGAGAAGGAGAGCTGGCGGACCCAGGGAATGGCCAGGACCTGGCACCTGTCGAACGGGCTCAGGCTCTGCTTCCAACTTAAAAATTCTGATGCTGGCCGGGCACAGTGGCTCAAGCCTGTAATCCCAGCACTTTGGGAGGCCGAGGCGGGCGGATCACAAGGTCAAGAGATCGAGACCATCCTAGTCAACATGGTGAAACCCCGTCTGTACTAAAAATACAAAAAAATTACCTGGGCATGGTGGCGCGTGCCTGTAATCCCAGCTACTCGGGAAGCTGAGGCAGGAGAATTGCCTGAACCCAGGAGGCGGAGGTTGCGGTGAGCCAGTATCGCACCATTGCACTCCAGCCTGGGCAACAAGAGCGAAACTCTGTCTCAAAAAAAAAAAAAAAAAAAAAAAAATCTGATGCTGTTTTCTCATCCATAAAATGGGGTGACACTATGGCAGCCCCTGACACTGCAAACCCTCAAATCAGCAAGCACTCTTCAGTGGGTGTGCTACAGGAAAGGCGTCTCCATACAGACCCCAAGAGACAGTTCTTGGATCTTCCCAAGAAAGAATTCAGGACGAGTCCAGAGTAAAGTGAAAGCAAGTTTATTAGGAAAGCGAAGGGGTAAAAGAACAGCTACTCCACAGACAGAGCAGCCCCGAGGGCTTCTGTCTGTGCATTTTTATGGTTATTTCTTGATTATACGCTAAACAAGAGGTGGATCATTCATACCTCCCCCTTTCAGACCATATAGGGGAACTTCTGACGTTGCCGTGGCATTTGTAAACTGTCGTGGTGCTGGTGGGCCCGCATAGCAGTGAGGACAACCAGAGGACTCGTGTTGTTGCCATTTGGGGTTTTGGCAGCTTCTCTCCTGCAGCCTGTTTTATCAGCAATGTCTTTATGACCTGATCTTGTCCCAACCTCCTATCTCATCTTGTGACTTAGAATACCTTAACCGTCTGGGAACGCAGCCCAGTAGGTCTCAGCCTTACTTTACCAGTCCCTATTCAAGACAGAGCTGCTCTGGTTCAAATGCCTCTGACAGGTGCAGAGGGAGGGTAGGGAGTGGAGCCCACTCACTACAAGTCACACGCACCTACACTCCTGAATTGGCTTTTCCAGGCTTCTTACTAGTTTAATCCCACAACAACGAGCCGTGGAAGGTCCTTCCTCTCCCAGATTTCTGCACATCCTCCGTACCGGTAGGATTTGGGGGAACAAGTCAAATCGCACAAGCTAATCCCTGAAAGGTGAACTCCACAGCTCCTCAGCCCTCTCCCAGTGCCAGTGGCCTGGGTGCCAGGTCCCCGACAAATGCTGGCTCCATGGCAGCTGCCATCACTTCCCTGCCGAGGTCCTCGTGTGGGTAACCAGCTGAGGCTCAGCCAGCATGGGCCAGGGAGGGAGGGGCTGTGCTGCCCCTCAGGGATCCCTCGGGGGCTTTTGGGGGCCCCAGCAGAAGGTTTGCTGGTGAGAAAGTCGGGAAGTGCTGCTTCTTACAGGGCTGCCTTCAATTATTTCAGCTGCACCGAGGGTTTTCAAAATCAGACCAAATAAACATTTGCATCTAAAAAAGGCAAAACAGGGTCATTTGAAACAGAGAAGAAAGCCTTTCCCATATCCGGAGGGTGTGGCCCGACGTTCTGGAGCAGCGGCAAGGGTTCGCTTGGGTTTTGTGCCTGTGCCAGGGCGACTAGCCCAGCCCCTGCTTCAGGAGGGAAGTTATTTTCTTTTAAATCAAATGTGTGGCGACCTGAGTTTCCTTTCCCTGACTTGCTTCGTGGTCCCCGGGCCCCCTGCTGCTGTCGGGTAAACATCTTTAAAGGGTTCTGTGTGCTTTTCCTAAGTAGGGGACCGCAGCAGACTCGACAGTATCCACCCGGTCGGGCCCAAGGCAGGAGGAAGGGCGGCACCCCCAAACTCCAGGGCCGCCTGCGGCACCCTCCGCCCACCCCTCTCCGCCTCTGGGGAGCGCCCTGCAGCCACCACGCCCCACTTCTCACACTTGGCCCGGTGCTCCAGAGACGTCCGAGAGCCAGGCTTTTCCTGAAAAGTCAGGACTGGAAGGCGGCGAGGGCATCAGCTTTTTTCTTCTAGCAGTTACGCCCCCGTGGCTAAATTAAACTCACATCCCCTAAATTAGGCCCAAAGGGAGGGGCATCTGCTGCTAAGCGGTGTGTTTTGTCCGCCCAGGACTTCCATTGCTGCGCTCCAGGCGACAACAGCGGAGTCAGGCCGCACCGGGACCCCTCCTGGTGACAGGCGCCCTCACACTGGTGGGCTTTCCTGTGGACGGTCAGTCAGCATTTGCCCCTCGACACAGCCCTGTCTGCGAAGAAGGTCTTTGCCGACAGCGACCGCCCCACTCTTACTCCTTCATTCCATCCGTTTTGTTCAGGACTGCCGACTAAACACTTTCCAGCACGGTGGGCCCTTGAACAACACGGGTTCAAACCGCGGGTCCACTCACAGGAATCTTTTCCAATCAGAGCTACCCCGAGTGTCCCTGCCACCTCCTCCTCTCTGCCACCCTGAGGCAGCAAGACCAGCCCCTCCTCCTTGGCCACTCCACGGTTATGATGATCCACTTCCACGGAGTAAATACTTTCTCTTACGATATTCTTAATGCCATTGTATTTCCCCTAGCTTAGTTTATTATAAGAATACAATAAACTCCTGCCTCAGCCTCTTGAGTAGCTGGGATTACAGGCATGCGCCACCATGCCCGGCTAATTGTGTATTTTTTAGTAGAGACGGGGTTTCTCCGTGTTGATCAGGCTGGGCACGAGCTCCCGACCTCAGGGGATCCACCCACCTCGCCTCTCGAAGAGCTGGGATCACAGGTGTGAGCCACTGGCCCCCACAATTGGTTAATGTTATCAGTAAGACTTCCAGTTAACAGCAGGCTTTTTATTAGTTAAGTTTGGAGCTAAGTTATGCTTGGGTTTTCAACTGCTCGAGGGGTCGGCACTCCAACCCCCGACATTGTTCAAGGGTCAACTGCACCTCTCTGACCTGTCTCTCCTGTCCTCTGATGTAGTAGGATAAATATAAAAACAAACACTTAGAAGCCCTTGCAAACCAGGAAAAATACCACCAATGGACCAGACCATTGGAGAATTTCTGGAAGATATGAAGCAGAGATACCAGATGGTGAAATGCTATAGAGCCAATGCCGGGCAGGTGACAGGCCGTCTTAAAACCCTCAAGTCTGGAAATGGGGTAGGTGAGGGCAGTGGAGAGGGAATGAGTCGGTGATTACACAAAGGGCTACCCAGGTGGCTGAGCCAGTGTCCTGCCTGTCCCCAGGGCATGCACCATCGCTAATTTTTTTTTTTTTTTTAATTTTTAGCAGAGATGGGGTTTCACCATGTTGGCCAGGTGGGTCTTAAACTCCTGACCTCAAGTAATCTGTCCTCCTCAGCCTCTCAAAGTGCTGGGATTATAGGCATGAGCCACTGTGCCCGGCCAACAGCTGGATTTTCCTATCTCCTGCTTTCAAGCGATAGTGATAACGCATATCATGTAGACTCTGGAAACCCCACTGAAGCCCCACTTGTATATGTGTTGCCAAAGTGAGCATTTGAACACCCATTAGGAAAAAAAGTCGTTTTTATTCCCACTAAATAGTTTTGACTTTGCAGACACCCAGAAAGAGTCTTAGGGGGGTCCATGGATTCCACTTTGAGCAGCACTGCCTGGACACTCACTTACAAATGGGATCAGACAAGCAAGTGTCCCCACACATTGGCAGGACATCAACAGCCTGCAGAAGAAGTAGACGGAACCCTGGAGAACACAGGAGAATATGCAGGAATCAGAAAAAGACACTTAAATCAGCATCATTCATATCCCCTGAAAAGTTCAGTACAATGTAAGAGCCAGTCAGAGGGCAAAGTGGGCACAGAGCAAACACTTCCCATATATACCATCAAACGACCAGTAAGAGGGCACTGCAATAGCAACGACAATCATAAAGAATCCAGGCATAGGCATAACCTGAATTCTGGAGAACCTACATGAAGAAAAATCTGTAATTGTATTAAAGGACATAAATTGAGAGATGTGTTTCCCATGGGAAGCTTCAATATTATAAAGGTGGCAATTATCCGCGTTGCTCAGCGAACTGTCCTCTGCATTCTACTAGGTTGAGTGAGATTTCTGTCACAAGTATGCGCCGAGAGTCAAAACTAACGTATCTTCTAGGTCCACAGTCCCCAGCTTTTTTGACACCAGGGACCGGTTTCAGGGAAGACAGTTTTTCCAGACCTGGGGTGTCAGGGGACTGTTTCTGGGGAAACCTGTTCCACCTCCGATCACCAGGCATTAGAGCCTCATAATGAGTGTGAGGCCTGGATCCCTAGCATGCGCAGTTCACGACAGGGCTTGCACTCCTACGAGTGATGCTGCTGCTGGTGTGACAGGAGGTGGAGCTCAGGCGGTCACGCTCCCGCGCCCACCACTCATCTTCTGCCAGGAGCCTTGGTTCTTAACAGACCACAGACGGGGACCAATCTGTGGCCCCGGGTTTTGTGACCCCTGCTCCATGTTGAAAGCCACTCCAAATAAAGAGACAAGTGACCAACTACAAGAAGATGCTTTCAACATATATAATAGGCAAAAGTTCAATATGCTTAATATATACAATTCCTGGAGTCAGATGAAGACAAAGAACCTTAAAATACAGGCAGGTAATAGAAGCTAAACAAGCAGCAGCTACAGGCATGGAAATGAATCAACCTCTGATTAGAGTGAGGCTCACCTGCTCTAACAAAGAGACCAGGTGATACAGGGGCTAGAAGAATCAACAGATCTGTTTCTGTATTAGTCAGGTTCTCCAGGCAACAGGACCAAGAGGAGAAATACACACACATGTATGTGATAAACAAATGTGTATATTTGTTTACCTAACATATATATCTATATCAGACATTACATAGGATATACACACACACACAGCCGCACACATTTATTTTAAGGAATTTTGAAGAATTTATTTTAGGGAACTATTTTAAGGGTCTTATTTTAAGCACTGTGCGATTGTGGAGGTTTGGTGAATCCAGAATCTGCAGAGTAAGCCAGTAGGCTGGAGACCAATATTGCAAGTTGGAGTTCACAAGATGCCGGCAGAATTCCTCCTCGCTCCGAGCAGGTCAGTCTCCTTTCTCTTAAGGACTTCAACGGATGGGATGAGGTCTGCCCACATGGTGGCAAGTAATCTGCTTTACTCAAAGTCTTCTGATTTAAATGTTAATTTTATCTTAAAAATACGTTTGCCGGGTGTGGTGGCTCACTAACCCCAGCACTTTAGGAGGTCAAGGCAGACGGATAGCTTGAGGACAGGAGCTCGAGACAAGCCTGGCCCACATGGTGAAACCCCAGTCTCTACTAAAAATACAAAAGTTGGGCCGGGCGCGGTGGCTCAAGCCTGTAATCCCAGCACTTTGGGAGGCTGAGGCGGCTGGATCACGAGGTCAAGAGATTGAGACCATCCAGGTCAACATGGTGAAACCCCGTCTCTACTAAAAATACAAAAAATTAGCTGGGCATGGTGGCGCGTGCCTGTAATCCCAGCTACTCAGGAGGCTGAGGCAGGAGAATTGCCTGAACCCAGGAGGAGGTTGCGGTGAGCCGAGATCGCGCCATTGCTCTCCAGCCTGGGTAACAAGAGCAAAACTCCGTCTCAAAAAAAAAAAAAAAAAAAAAATACGAAAGTTAGCCTGGTGTGGTGGCAGGTGCTTGTAATCCCAGCTACTCAGGAGGCTGAAGCACAAGAATTGCTTGAACCCGGGAGGCGGAGGTTTAAGTGACCCAAGATCGTGCCACTGCACTTCAGCCTGAGCAACGGAGTGAGACGCTGTCTCTAAATCAATCAGTCAATAACCTTCACAAAAACATCTAGAATAGTGTCTAATCAAATATCGGAGCGATGTGGCCACATATTTAACACATAAAATGAGCCATCACCGTTTCTTTCTCAGGTTATGGGTCTCAGCTGAGCAGCGCCCCTGTTCCTGAAGGTCCCCCAGAGCCCCAGGTCCCTTCTCTCTCCTGCTGCTCGCCTCCCCTAGGGCACTGCCACAGCCTGATTCTAAGCAGCTTGGAGACCCAGAAGAGGTTCCTATCACAGGCCTCCTCTTACTCTGTAGCTGAGAACTTGGTCCTGTGGACAAGCCTGTCTGCAAAGCAGGCTGGAAATGTGGTCAAGCTCAGCAGCTGCTGCCCAGCCACAGATCTGTTGAGCTGGAAGAAAATAAAAATGGATTGCTTTTTCCTTTTTTTTTCCTTTAGTAGAGATGAGGTCTTGCTATGTTGCCTAGGTTGGTCTTGAACTCTTGAGCTCAAGGGATCTTCCCACCTCAGCCTCCCAAAGTGCTGGGATTACAGGCGTGAGCCACTGTGTCTGGCCAAGAATGGACTTTATTTAAAGCAAGGAGTCTCCACCCAACCTCCCTACTAAAAAGGAAATGAAACTAAATCCATGAAATAATTTGCCCCCCCCTTTTTTTTTGCTTATCAGATTGTCAAAAATTAGAAGTTTGCAATCAGACAGGAGGGTTCTTTACCCACAGCAACAACTACAGAAAAAGATCTTATTTTGGAGGGCACTCAGAATCTTGAAGATGCAGGGGGAACAGGCTTGGAAAATAAGCAGGCGTCAAGAGCCCTCCCTAGGTCAATGGCAGAAGCAGGCTTGCTTGGACACTTTGGCCATGGGATATGATGCCACAGCTGGACAGAGCCATGGCCAGGCAATGCCACTAGCACCCCCATTGGGCATGGCCATGGGATATGATGCCACAGCTGGACAGAGCCATGGCCAGGCAATGCCACCAGCAGCCCCCATTGGGCATGGCCATGGGATATGCCACAGCTGGACAGAGCCATGGCCAGGCAATGCCACTAGCAGCCCCACTGGGCATCCTCTGCTGCTCCCAGGTCTGCATATGCAGGGCCCTGGGGTTCTCTGCCCAAATGTCACTGTGCCCATTACCAGGGCCACATGGGCCTGTTGAGGTTTCCCTCTTCCTCACTCCATGACCTGAAGGGGCGGCAGATGCCTGGAATCCCAGCTACTTTTCTGGGGGCTGGGTGGGGATAGAGGTCCAGTAACGAGCTTGACCCAGCAGGCCGGTGTAAGGTCCCCACGGTATGGAGGGTTTACCAAGGTCTCTAGAAACCTGAGAGCCAGCAGTCCCTCTTCTAGGAATCTTCCATTGCTGGCAGAAAAGAACATATTCTTAGTGGAAACAGCAATTCGTGGAACAATACGCATGGAAAACTGGGAGGCCTCGTTGTTACCTCACGAGCTCCGGAGCCAGGCTCAGATCTTGACTCCAGGACTCACTAGGCTACTTAACCTCTCTGTGCCACAGACTCCTCATCAAAAATGAGTCGTAGTAACAAACCTTACTATTTAAGGTTTGTGAGGATTAAATTAATATACGCAAAGTGCTCAGACCAAGAGCTTGGCATTTGATGAATACTCATTACCAATTAGCTCAGTTTATAACATCATGACCCCATTTCTTCTCTACAAAGCATGTTAACGCGCATCCGTGCATGGCGGGATGTGTCCAGAACCGTCCACACGTACTCAGGAACAATGGCTGCCTGGAAGTAGGAGTAGGAAGGAAGTGTGAGTATCCATGTCCTTCTGTGATAGATTTCTTTGTGAATTGCTGTAACTTCCTGTATCAGGCACTGACACTTGTGGGCAGGTGGGTAGGTACTAGGTGGTAGCTACGCACAAGGGTGAACAAGGACGCGAAGCAGGCAAAGCCCTGGCCCTGGCTCAGGGGACTCTTCCAGGTCTGCCTCAGGCAGTGTAAGAACTCCCCGAGGGCCCTGGGGTGCCAGGGGCAGGGAGAGGGACGGAGGACCTGCACTTCCCAGTGCCACGCCACCGCACTCAGCATTAGTCACCCTGCTCCTCCAGGTTCTGGGGCCAGATGTCCCCCAAGTAGGCACGGTCATTCGGTGAACAAGCGCTCGCATCTGAAAGCGCACAGGTGTCGCCGGGCTGAACTGGGGGAAGAGTCCAGGCTCCCTCGAGAACCGCCTCCCAGCAACCGGGCTTGCGGGTCCGAGGCAGAGGTCAGGCCAGAAGGGCTGGGGAGGGCGTGGTCGGCGCGGCCTGAGCCCTAGACCCCTCGGGCCTGGGGACGGATGTGCGCTTCGTCCGTTTCAACATTTCCTCCCGGGCTGGCCTTGGCCCAGGAAAGAGGCAGGGTGCGGTTTCCCTCCGCCTCCCCCTCAGCCCTTCTCTCCCGCACCCCTCCTCCTCCTCCCCCCCCTCCGCTCCTTCCTCTCCTCCCCCCACCCCTCCTCCTCCCCCCTCAGCTCCTTCCTCTCCTCCCCCGCTCCTCCTCCCCCACCCCTCCTCCTCCCTCCTTCCTCTCCTCTCGCACCCCCCTCCTCCTCCTCCTCCCCGGCTCCTTTTTCTCCTCCTCTCCCGCACCCCTCCTTTCTTTCTCCCTCATCTCCCTGCCCCCCTCACCCCCGCCCCTCTTCTCCCCCGTCCTCTCCCTCCAGTTCCCCCGCCGCGCCCTCCTCCACCTCCTCCTCCTCCTCCTCGCGGCCCCCGCCCCGGAAACGAGCTCACTCCGGGAGGCGGAGGCGAAGCGCGCGGGGTGGTTCGTGGGCCCGTCCTCTCCGCTGCCCGCGCGCCCCGCCCGACGGCTCGCACCTGCTTGGCGGCGGCCGCTGGATTCTCGGCCTCGGGCGGAGGAGGCGGGAGGGAAAGTGGGTCAGCGCGGGGCCGCTGTTGGGCTTGGAAAGGGCCCAGGGCGCCGGACGCCTCTCCCGGGCGCGGCAGCAGGAGCGCCCGCGCGTAACACGCCAGACACAAAGGGGCGCGGGCGCGCGGGGAGAGGCCGTCGGGCGCCGCACACGTGGGCTGAGTCCCCCTTCCCGGCCACTGCCCGGGGCCGCCGGGGCTCTCCTCCCTCCGAGCGACGTCCCCACGGCCCCACACCGCTAGCCGGAGCCCGCAGGCGCCCACCACGCCCGCTCTTCGTCCGCCCCCGGGCTCGGTCTGGGCGGCTCCCTCCTCCGGACGCGGTCGCCGCCGCCCCGCCCTGCCCTGCCCCTCCCAGCCCCCGGGTGTCAGCCACAGGCCTCAGCAGCTGGAGTCCTCCTCCTGGGAGCATTTTTCTGACACCTCTGGGGGACCCGGTCCCCTGACGCCCCCCTGCTAGGACTGGCTCCTGCTGGAATTGGGCCTCCTTGCTGGAGACCCTTTCCCCTGGGTCACCTGATGAATGTTTCGCCTTGTTCCGGACGCTCCCCAGGTCTCTCCAGAACGCCTCTCCATCCCTTGGCCCCTGTTGCAGTTTGCATCCTGCAGTGCCCACGCCTGGCGCAGTCCCCTTCTGGGGCTCTGGGAGGCTGGCCTCTGAACGCTGGGCTGAGCCAGCTTCTGACCCAGGAGGGGCCCAGAGCTGCCACATTCTTACCCCGCTCCAGGTTTGAGAAGGTATTTCCATGGGAACCCTGTGTCAAATGCGCACCCTTACTGCGTGTCCTCATGTGTGGGCAGCCGTAGCTGCACAGGCCACGGTTGGTGGCCTGGTGTGCTCTCTGAGCTTCTCTGAACCCAGATGAGTGGCGCTTGATTGGCCAGTGTTGGTGTCCCCCGGCTTGTAGAAGGGCTGGTAGCTCCTGAGACCGCCATGTGTCTACTACAGATGGACAGCTGGACACCTGCAAGCCTCCTACAGATGCGGGAAGGAGGGAATAGGGAGAAGGGGAAAATCCGTTTAAAAAAGAAAACGACGTTTTCCAGCACCTGGGAGAGAAGCGGCTCTCGTATCACGAGCCAGGCACTTAAATTAGCTGGGCGTGGTGGCACATGCCTGTAGTCCCAGCTACTCCGGAGGCTGAGGCAGGAGAATTGCTTAAACCCGGGAGGCAGAGGTTGCAGTGAGTCGAGATCATACCACTGCACTCCAGCCTGGTGACACAGTGAGACTGTCTCAAAAAAAAAAAAAAAAAAAAACTTTTATATATTAAATAAATGGCGATGAAATCAGAAGAATCTGTGCGACTTTTGAGTGTGACCCTCAGAAACTCAGGACCCTCAGGGAGTTGGGCAGGGGTCGTGGAGGTCCCTCAAAATAAGGGAGAACTGGGGGTCCCCCTCAGATACCTCCACATGTCACACTTTCCTGCAGGACTGGATTTGGGCTAAAGCAAGCAGTGCCAGTTCCTGCCCTTGGCAACACCCGGCCTCACCAAGCTCTGCCAGCTCTAAAGCCTCTAGGATTTCAGACAAATCCTCAAACATAAACACAGAGCACTATGGATCCTCTCAAGAAAAGCAAGGCGCGGGCCCCACCAGTTTGGTTATGAGAGAGATTTCATTAGCTTTGCTGTATTTGGCTTTTGTGTCACCGGCCCAGTTATCGCCTTCTGGAATCTCCCTTCCTCCTTGTAAACTCCGGCTGAGTTTTAAGGCTCAGAAGTTCTCAGGGAAGACCTGGAAGTTGGTTTTGTTTTTTTTTTTTTTTCATCAACTAGTCCTTCTTTTATGTCCGTTCGTGGCCAGACGTAGTCTGCGGCTTCACGTGGCAACGTCTGATTAAGTGATGCCCAGCCTATCCTGGGGCCACAGACAGATAATTGCAGTGCTTAATTTTTTCATTTGATGAATAATGAAAGCTTTGCTCATTTTGTGTGTGTGGGAAAGAGACAACTTTAATACATTGGAACTTGAAAACGGCTTTTGAGTATTGCTGTCCTGAGACACTGTAACACAGCCCTCAAAACAGAACAGGCGCTTGGTGCCAAATGGGGCAGGGTGTGGGAGGGAGGGACTCCCTGCCGGTCTTTGATGTAATGTAATGCACATACATGGCAGAACCAATATTCCTTCCCCAAACACGAGATAAACAATATATCCCACAAATGACAATCATTTGTCATCAAGGGTCTCATCGTACCAGGCTTTTCTCAAGCAACAGAAAAAATTATTCCTACTCGTATTGCTTCTGTTTTGGAACTTTCCTGCCTGTGAGCACATGGGAGGCTAGAAAAGGCTTGGCCCAGGAGCCGGGGAAGCTCTAGTTCAGCTATGAACTCTGCTATGACTTGGCTGGGTTACGTCGTAGAACTCGATTTCCTTTGGGTTTTGATTGCTTTATCTGTTAGTAGACAGAAGAGTAACCCCTCTTCCCTTTCTCTCCCCTCTTCCTTTTCTTTTCTTTTCTTTTCATTTCTTTCTCTTTCTTGACAAGCTCTTTCTCTGTCACCCAGGCTGGAGTACAGTGGTGTGATCACAGCTTATTGCAGCCTCAACCTCCAGGGCTCAAGTGATCTTCCCAACTCAGCCACTGGAGTTGCTGGTACTACAGGTGTGCACCACCATGCCCGGCTAATTTTTTGTATTTTTAGTAGAGCTGTTCCTACTTTTTGCCATATTGACCAGGCTGGTCTCAGACTCCTGCCCTCAAGTGATCTGCCTGCCTTGGCCTCCCAAAGTGCTTAGTACAGGCATGAGCCACCACACTTGGTCTCCTTTGTCTTTTTTTTTTCTTTTTGGGACAGAGTCTTGCTCTGTCACCAGGCTGGAGTGCAGTGGTGTCATCTCGGCTCTGTGCAACCTCCGCCTCCAGGGTTCAAGTGATTCTCCTGCCTCGGCCTCCCCAGTAGCTGGGATTACACACACCTGTGCCACCACGCCCAGCTAATTTTTGTATTTTTAGTAGAGACGGGGTTTCACCATGTTGGCCAGGATGGTCTCGATCTCTTGACCTCGTGATTCACCACCTCAGTCTCCTAAAGTGCTGGGATTACAGGCATGAGCCACCAAGCCCGGCCTCTTTTATCTTTTTACTATGGAAATTTTTCCTCTCAAACAAAACCAAAGGCAGAGAGAGTAGTAAAATTAGCTCTCACGTGTTCCTCACCAGCTTCCACAATTATCAGCATGTAGTCCATCTTGTCTGGTGTGTATTTGCACTCACTCCACGCCTGGCTTTATTTGAAGCAACATATTACAGGATTACTGTTCTTATCTAGTGCCTTTGTCTAGTGGCTTGAAATAGCAATCATTTATTAGATCGTAATTCTGTGGGTCAACAGTTTGGGCTGGGATCAGCTGGACGGTTCTTCTGTCGCTTTTTGTCTGGGCTGTGCCAGTCACCTGGTGACTTGGTTGGAGCTGGACAGTCTTTGATGGCCTCACTCACATGTCTGGCAGTTGGCTAAGGTGCCTCAGTTCTCCACACGGTCTCTCCAGCAGGCTAGCTTCGGCATGCCTTCATGGTGGCGACTTTCCAAGAGAGGGCAAGCCCCAGTGTGCAAGCACTTTTCAAGTCTCTGCCTGCATCATGTTTGCTAGTGTCCCATTAGCCAAAACAAGTCACGCAACCAAGCCCAGTATTAATGTGGGAAGGAGAAACACAAGGGCATAGAAATGAGGAGTAGTCCACTGGGGGCCATTAGCCATTACTGTAGCAGTGTATCATGAGACTATGTTTCTAAAATATAAGGACTCTCTCCCATATACCCTTTTTAAAAACATAACCACAATTCCATTATCACAGTTGACAAAATTAACTATAAATCTTTAAATAGTCACAATATCCACTTGGTGTTTACATTTCCTTGATAAATGTTCCTGTTTTGTGGTTCTTGTTTTATAGTTGTTTGAATCAGTGTTAAAATAAACCCACACACCGCATTTGGATATGTCCCTTAAGTCTCTTTACAGATTCTCAGTTCTCTCTATATATTTACTTTATTTTATATATATATATATATATATATATATATATATATATTTTTTTTTTTTTTTTTGAGACAGAGTGCAATGGCGTGATCTCGGCTCACCACAACCTCTGCCTTCTGGATTCAAGCAATTCTCCTGCCTCAGCCTCCCGAGTAGCTGGGATTACAGGTGCGCACCACCACGCGCAGCTAATTTTTGTATTTTTAGTAGAGACAGGGTTTCACCATGTTGACCAGGATGGTCTCGATCTCTTGACCTCGTGATCCACCCGCCTCGGCCTCCCAAAGTGCTGGGATTATAGGCGTGAGCCACCGCGCCCGGCCACGTGGGTTTCTTTCTTTCGTGTTACTTTTGACCTTTAAGCTGCTTTCTTTTTCCTTTTGGCTTAATTTTGATAGTTATTTAGAACATTTACATGATTTCAGAGTCCAATCTACAAGACGAAGTGTGGACAGAGGAACCTGGCTTCCGTCTCAGGCCTCCACGCTTCCCTGCTCCCCTTTTCTGCACCCCCCCTTTTCTCACCTGAAGCTGCATTGTGAGAGAGCCCTTCCTTAAGCATAAGGGGCACTTCTGTCTTATGGACACCCAGTGGTCTGCTGTGGGGATCGCCAGACTGAGAAGCGGAGGGTCCACGTTGTGCATTGCTACCCACCATGGATTTGGAATCGTTCTAATGGTGCTTAAAATGTCAGTGAAGTAGAATAAAGGAGTGTTGTTTGTTTGCAACCATTGTTTAGTGTCGTGCACCTGTGTATGTATGTAGTGTATGTTCTGTAGTGTATGTACTCTTTTATAGTGTGTCTTGGTGCATTTTGTGCTGCTATAACATAATGTCACAGGTGGGACAATTTAATTAATTTTTTTTTTTTTAAGAGGTTTCTCCATGTTGGTCAGGCTGGTCTCGAACTCCCGTGATCCACCTGCCTCGGCCTCCCAAAGTGCTGGGGTTACAGGCATGAGCCACTGCGCCCAGCCTTAATTTATTTCGAGACAGAGTCTCGCTGTCACCCAGGCTGGTGTGCAATGGCACAATCTTAGCTCAGATTGTGCAAGCTCCACCTCCCAGGTTCAAGTGATTCTCCTGTCTCAGCCTCCCGAGTAGCTGGGACAACAGGCACTTGCCACCATGCCTGGCTAATTTTGTATTTTTACTAGAGACAGGGTTTAACTATGTTGGTCAGGCTGGTCTCGAACCACTGATCCCAGGTGATCTGCCTGCCTTGGCCTCCGAAAGTGCTGGGATTACAGGCATGAGCCACTGTCTCAGCCTGGTGGAGTAATTTATAATGAACAAAAATTTATTGTCTCATGATTCTGGAGGCTGGGAAGTCCAAGGTCAAAGGGCTGACATCTGGTAAGAGGCTTCTTGCTGCATCCCCCCCTAGAGGAAGGGCAAAGAGAGAGCCAGAGTGAGAGGGAGGGTTGAACTCCCCCTTTCTGTGGCATTTAATCCATTCATAAGAGCAAAGTCCTCATGACCTAATCACCCCCTCAGTGATCCCACTTCTTAATACTGTTACAATGGCAACGAAGTTTCAACATGAGTTTGGAGGGGACATTCAAACTGTAGCACAGTGCAATCTATTTCTTTGTCACCAAAAAAGCTTGACAAACCCTGGGTTAGTTAATTCTGAAGGTTCCTTTGGCACCAAGATTCTGTGATTCTGCCCCAGGCTTCCTGGGACAAGCCTACCTTTTCTATTGATAAATTTCCCAGGCATCAGCAGCTAGCCTCTCCTGTCATTCACCAGACAGTGCAGGTCACAAGATCTGAACAGTGCCACTCTCTGCTGTGGTAGGTCTTCTGTGGTCTGGGCTTTGATCTTAGCATCTAGGTCTATATGATTCTAGAAACTCCCTCTCCTTCTGCTGACTCACAGATGCTGCTGGAGATACTATCTGAGCATCCCCAGAGAGCCTGGGGCAGCCATCTAGGTCCACACTCAGAAACTCACCCAGAGCTGGGGCAGTGACCTCAGTGTCCTATGGACCAACTTGAGGTATTTTCAAGATTTCCCGGGGTTTCACTGACTGGGCTGAATCCTTTGCAGAAGCTTAGTCCTTCCACGAGAGTGGTTTGCTCCTGGAGCCTATGACACATGGCACTGAGGGTTGCTTGTTTCCACACCATTGCCTTTTTCTTTAATGTTTAATGATGTGTGCCCAGGATGCCTGGGGAGTCTGGGTTGGCATGGTGTTGCGTTTTCTTGTGATTGGCTCAAGAGTTGGCATGTGATCAGGAAGAAGGGTATTTCAGTAAGAGGCTTTCCTGGTGATGAGGAAGAGGCACACCTTTGGCCGGTGGCTCACGCCTGTAATCCCAACACTCTGGGAGGCTGAGGCAGGTGGATCACGAGGTCAGGAGATCGAGACCATCCTGGCTAACACTGTGAAACCTGTCTCTACTAAAAACAAAAAATTAGCCAGGCATAGTGGTGTGTGCCTGTAGTCCCAGCTACTGGGGAGGCTGAGGCAAGAGAATAGCTTGAACCCAGGAGGTGAAGGTTGCAGTGAGCTGAGATCGCACCACTGCACTCGAACCTGGGTGACAGAGCAAGCCTCTGGCAAAAAAAAAAAGCATACCTTCCCTCCTGCTAGGGCCCTGTGCCTGTGCAGTGTGAGATGCTGAGTGTGGGAGTGGCCCTCTGTGATTTATGAGGGAGACACCCCCAATCCCAGACGTGTTGAACAGGCTCAGCAGCCCGAGGGAGCATTGCTGAGCCTTGGCAAAGGGGCGTCCTTCAGAGTCATGATCACAGACACCATTGATCACCTGACATTCTGTGGCTTGCAGTCAATGGCATCCTGGCAGAGAGGGTCACGCTCTTCCTTTGAGGTCCACGGGAAGGGACTATGCAGGGGGTATCTTTTTTTTTTTTTCTTTATCCACCTACAACTGTCTTGACTGAGTTTTATATATGCTGGGGGTTTCTTATAGGCCCCTCACTGTTTGGGGTTCTGGAGCTCCAAGTATAAGAGAATTTGGTTCTTGCCCTGCACAAATGCGAGGGAGGATATCCCCTTGGCATTGCCATGCCCATTGCAATGGGAACGAGAGAGGGCAGGGCAAGCTGCTCATTTTGTAATTAACAAAGGGAGGGGCTTTTATAGACACGAGGGCAGTTTTTACAGCCCCACCAACCCCGTTGCTTTGGTCTGAGCAGCCACACCCTGTTGTGACTTTACTGTCATTCCTACGGTCACTTGACCAACTCCTTTAAGGCGTCACTGACTTTTATTCTCTCAGATACTGTTGTTTGTGCAATAATAAGACTCTAAAGTCTTTGCAAGCAAGTTAAATTGTAATATACTAATTTCTCGTATGCAGTATAGGAATTATTCTCTAAAATGTGAATGTGCCATGTCAGGTCTCAATGCCTAGGTGTGGATCCAAGTTCTGTGAGGTCTGAAGATTATACAGTGATTGCCTTAAGAATTAAAACATTTTGAAAGCAATATTAGGTATAAAAGCAAATATTTAGAATGAGAAAATAAATTCTTACCAATTTTAAAGAGCTAAAAACCATCACAAACTTTGTAAAATACAGAACTATAACATAACCGCTTTTTTTTTTTTTCTTTTGAGATGGAGTTTCGCTGTTGTTACCCAGGCTGGAGTGCAATGGCGCGATCTCGGCTCACCGCAACCTCCGCCTCCTGGGTTCAGGCAATTCTCCTGCCTCAGCCTCCTGAGTAGCTGGGATTACAGGCACGCACCACCATGCCCAGCTAATTTTTTTGTATTTTTAGTAGAGACGGGGTTTCACCATGTTGACCAGGATGGTCTCGATCTCTTGACCTCGTGATCCACCCGCCTCCGCCTCCCAAAGTGCTGGGATTATAGGCATGAGCCACCGCGCCCGGCCCCATAACCTCTTTTTTTGGTTAACCGCCTGACATAATTATATAATAGGTGTTTTCTTACATTTTTGGCTACAAACTCTTTAGTCATATCTTTATACAACAGGTTTTTTGGGTCATATTTTCTATACAACATATAAAAGGTAATTTATCTGGCACAGGGGTCAGTAAACTTCTGTAAAGACCAAACAGCCAATATTTCAGGCTTTGGGGACCAAGCCTATGTATTAACTACTCCTATTTGCTATTGTAGCAGGAAAGTGGCCATCAACAATTTGGTGGCAGCTTCCTTGCTAAGGGGAGAGCAGGTTCCCGACATTGCTCCACGCTGCCACATGGTGGC